AGAAAAGGGAACGCTCTTGCACTGTTGATGGGAATGTAAATTGACACAGCCACTATGGAAGACAGTATGGAGATTCCTTAAAAAACTAGGAACAAAGCCACCATATGACCCAGCAATCCCACTCCTCGGCATATACCCCAGAAACCAAAATTGAAAAAGACACATATATCCCATTGTTCACTGCAACACTATTTACAATAGCTAGAACATGGAAGCAACCTAGATGTCCATTGACAGATGAATGGATAAAAAATTTATGGTACATATACATAATGGAATATTACTCAGCCATAAAAAGGAATGCATTTGAGTCAGTTCTTATGAGGTGGATGAACCCGGAACCTATTATACAGAGTGAAGTGAGTCAGAAAGAGAAAGATGAATATCGTATTCTAGTACACATATACAGAATCTAGAAAAATGGTATGGAAGAATTTATTTACAGGGAAGCAGTAGAGAAACAGACATAGAGAATAGATTTGTGGACATGGGGAGAGGGGAGGAGAGGGTGAGATATATGGAAAGAGTAACATGGAAACTTACACTTCCATATGTAAAATAGATAGCCAATGGGAATTTGCTGTGTGGCTCAGGAAACTCAAACAGGGGCACTGTATCAACCTAGAGTGGTAGGATGGGGAGAAAGATAGGAGGGAGGTTCAAAAGGGAGGGGATATATGTATACCTATGGCTGATTCATGTTGAGATTTGACAGAAAACAGCAAAATTCTATAAAGCAATCATCCTTCAATAAAAAAGATCAACAATTCAAACACAATTTTAGACAGTGCAATAGGGAAACAATTTAAATTATTTGGGGGAAATCTTTTAATAAAAACATTTGCAGTGAGTCATAGGAAATTTCTCTGTATAACTGACATTTGATTATTTTCTACAAAGATTGATATAATCTGCAGTCATGGAGATTTCAATGTGTCGGATCTGAAATCTTGAAAATTGAAACTTTTTCCATTAAAATTTATAGGGAGTCCAGGTAAATATTCCATGTGGATAAGCATTTATTTCCATACACTGTGTTCCCATTGTCTGCATATTCCAATCCTTGATGAAATATACTTCCAATTTCATGATCCCTTCACTTGTAGCATTCTTCATTGTGGTCTTTCTTGAATTCTTTTTGTTTCTCTTCTTGATATTTTATTGTTTTGAATATAGAAATAGTTATGTTTAGAACATTTGGAAATTATAAAGCATACAAAGAAGATAAAGATGTCAAATAGCAATGGATTTTATGCATTCAAAAATTCAGAGGAAATGAACTTGACACTCATCCACTCACAATTGTTACTGGAAACCCTGCATCTTAAGAGACTCCCTAAATACAAATTCACAGGAGAAGACAGTCTACAGCAAAAAAAAATCAGGTACGCTACCATTTAGTGGCCAGGTAGAGGAGGATGGGCCTAAAAATGCTTCTAGAAACAGTGAGGACAGCAAGGTAGGCATAAAATCAGAAGACTATGATGTCATGGAGCTCTTGGAAGAGTCAGTACACTCACTCTGAGAAATCAAGTCAGGGGAAGATTGAAAAGTCCCCTGGATTTATCTTTGTGGTCCTTGGTGACGTTTTTGAGAGCCTAAGTGATGGGAAGGCACAGTGAGTTGCCTACAGTCAGCATAACCATGTGGAGGAGGCTGACTGAAGAAAGTTGTGGCTCTGTGTAGCCTTGGGGCAAAGAGAAGGTTTGCTTGTTTGTTTGTTGCATGCCTGAAGTATCAAAAAGCAGTTGGAGGAGTGGAGTTAAGGGTGACTAAGGCCAGTGTCTCCTGCTCTTAGACGCTCTGATTTAGATATGACCTAGATACTGATTAAATCACAGAGTCTAAGAGCAGGAGATTCTCCTGTATAGAGCTAAAGCCTGGACATGAGGGTATTACTTTAAAGTTTCCCAGGCAATTCTAACATTCAACCATTGAGAATGAGCATCTAGGTCATATTTATCTATGTGTTTAGTTTAGAGCCGTTACCCCAGTTTGCCCAGTATCCACTCAGTCCAGTCCCAGCATTCTTGTCCTTTGGCTCATTAACCTGAGGACCAGTCATTTCACAGGATCACATGAAACCCTTCCTGGGGAAGTCACCTTCTAGTGTTAATCTGCGTCAGTTTGTCTGCTAGGTTCAGAGCATCCTGTCCCCAAAGGGTTGTTTATCTGCTTCAGCTGACAGTTTCAAAACAATAATCTATTAAATAACTTTTTAACTAAAGACAAAGCCAAAGAATTCGCTTAGTTTGGTTTTTTTTTTTTTTTCCTGTCTCTGGTTCTCAGGGCATATCTTTTAAGCCATGACCATATGGCATCACAAATTAGTGTTAAGGTCATTTCTTTCCATTCATTCAGTAAAAAGTTATTACTCTGAACAGCATTAAAACAAGTATGCTATCAAGGGTGAAACAGATCACCAGCCCAGGTTGTATGCATGAGACGGATGCTCAGGGCTGGTGTACTGGGAAGACCCAGAGGGATGGGATGGAGAGGGAGGCGGGAGGGGAACCGGGATGGGGAACACATGTAAATCCATGGCTAATTCATGTCAATGTATGACAAAAACCACTACAATATTGTAAAGTAATTAGCCTCCAACGAATAAAAATAAATGGAAAAAAAAGTTATTACTGTGTCATAATTAACATCTGAATACCATTTTAAAATTTTAACCACATTACGTATATATCATCTCAGTAATCACACAATGGCACTGCAACTGGTTTGCAGTAGAGGAAATGGAGGCCCAGAAAAATGATGTAACTTGCCAAGATTTCACAGCTAAACGTAGTAACAGAGGACATGAGTGTGGATCTTCTGATGTTACTATATCCACCAGCCTCTCAGGAGCTCATGCTTCCTATCCAATGGTGGCTGTTATTTCACACAGATTACCTTGCCTGGCAATTTATCTGAATAAGATACATATTGTGTGTTTGCCAAGAAGAGAAAAGCAACAGCCATCACAGAGATAGAAGTGATGGTGCAGAACCTCCCTGATAATGGTGACTTCATCAGGGGATAGTACATGGGGGCCCTTGTGCTGGTGGGGAGGCGGGTGGAAAGAGGATTCCTCCAGAGACAGCACTGCTCAGTACTCATGTAGACTCATATAATTCTAGAACTAGAAAGAAATTGTAGCCCAGACGTCTCATTCTATAGATGTAGATAAAGTGACATCATATATTAACTAGTTAGTATACAAGTTCAAATGCAGATGTCTAAAATACATTGTATTTTTTCCCACTTGCATCAGAATAACAATTTAGATTATCCCAATATTCATACTCAAGGACAATGGAAAGAAATGGAATCTTTCCTTAAACTGAGTGTTAAAGCTGTGCTAGAAATGTCTAGATTTGAGAGTCTAGTTTCCAGAGATGCACTCTCCAATATGGTAGCTACTAGCCACATTTAGCTATTTAAATTTAAAGCAATTAAAATTGTATAAAATTTAAAATTTTGTTTCTTATTCCTGCTGGCTGCATTTCGCATGCTCATTAGTTATGTGTCGCTAGTGACAACCATATTGAATCAACATTCGAATCATAGGAGTCCCAGAAGAAGAAGACAAAAAGAAAGGCCTTGAGAAAATACTCGAGGAGATAATAGCTGAAAACTTCCCTAAAATGGGGAAGGAAATAGCCACCCAAGTCCAAGAAACCCAGAGAGTCCCAAACAGGATAAACCCAGGGCGAAACACCCCAAGACACATATTAATCAAATTAACAAAGATCAAACACAAAGAACAAATATTAAAAGCAGCAAGGGAGAAACAACAAATAACACACAAAGGGATTCCCATAAGGATAACAGCTGATCTATCAATAGAAACCCTTCAGGCCAGAAGGGAATGGCAGGACATACTTAAAGTAATGAAAGAGAATAACCTACAACCTAAATTATTGTACTCAGCAAGGATCTCATTCAGATATGAAAGAGAATTAAAAAGCTTTACAGACAAGCAAAAGCTGAGAGAATTCAGCACCACCAAACCAGGTCTTCAACAAATGCTAAAGGATCTTCTCTAGACAGGAAACACAGAAAGGTTGTATAAACGTGAACCCAAAACAACAAAGTAAATGGCAACGGGACCATACCTATCAATAATTACCTTAAATGAATAGCACAGATTGTAGAACTTTACCCCATTAGCAGAAAGTTCTGTTGGACAGCACTGATCTAGGGTCTGGATTATGCCATGCTAAGCCATGAGCATTACTAGGATTTCTCAGCAGCATTCCATAGACCTAAGTGCAACACCAGGAGCCACTCAACTTTATTCATTGGATATGTTGCCCACTATCATTTAAAAATCATAATTAGGGGCATCCTGGGTGGCTCAGTGATGGAGAGTCTGCCTGCCAGCAACATGGGTTTGATCCCTGGGGCCTGGGAGCCACAACCACTGAAGCTTGCACGCCCAAGAGCCCTTGCTTCCCAACAAGAGAAGCCACCGCAGTGAGATGCCCTCACACTGCAACTGGAGGGTGGCCCCCACTTGCCACAACTAGAGAAAAGCCCACAGAGTGGGAAAACCCAGCCCAGTCAAAAAATATATATAATTAGGAAGAAAAGGATAAACTCCCCAAAAGAAAACAGGTTGGATTGTTCATACAGTGGGGTTACTACAGGAGCGATCTCCTGCTGTCATAGTCACAGTGCTGCTTGTCATTCAGTTCCTGCAGGAGAAAAAGGAAAAGCTAAGAGAGTTAAGTTATAATATCTAATGGTACAATAGTATTATAAAGAGAATCAGTAAGATTGTGTTAAAGCTATGTAAATTAGGCTGGAAAAGGATGAATATGAAAATTACATAAAATAAGAAGTTTTACTTGAAAAACAGGAAAAACAAAACCAAGTGGCCCTTAGAAATGTCTGTGTTTATGTGATGTGTATGGGTGAGGATACTTGGGTAAGTTTCAAGGAAGAGCAATATAATCTGCCCTAAATTTGTTTAGTTCTTCTATAATTCAGATTTTGTTTTATTTCAGATCAATGGTGGAGAGAAACGACCTGCCTCTGACATGGGGAAAAAACCAAAAACCCCCAAAAAGAAGAAGAAGAAGGACCCTAATGAGCCACAGAAGCCAGTGTCTGCCTATGCGTTATTCTTCCGTGATACTCAGGCTGCCATCAAGGGCCAAAATCCAAATGCTACCTTTGGTGAAGTTTCTAAAATTGTGGCTTCCATGTGGGATGGTTTGGGTGAAGAGCAAAAACAGGTAAGAAAAGATACAAAATGGATGATTCAACATGATTTGAGAAAGTGTGTGCATCCTAAAAAAGTGGCTTCTGAGGTCGTTGGGTGTGTGCGTGCGTGCTTGCGTGCATGCGTGCGTGTGTGTGTGTGTGTGTAGAAGCTCCAGTCATGTCCGACTCTTTGCGACCCTGCAGACTGTAGCCTGCCAAGCTCCTCTGTCCATGAGATTCTCCAGACAAGAATACTGGAGTCGGTTGCCATTCCCTCCTCCAGGGGATCTTCCTGACCCAGGGATCAAACCTATATCTTGTATGTCTCCAGCACTGGCAGGAAAGTTCTTTACCACTAGCACCACCTGGGAAGCCTGGTCATTGGGTGAATTCCTCGGATACTAGAACTGAGGCTGAGAATGTGCCCCACCAGAACCAGACTTCAGGGGATTCTAACATGGTTTTACATTCCTCTATTGCTCTGTTATTAATAGTATCTTAGTTCCTTTGTTTCAAAATTTATATGGTGTAGTTACTTTTGGAAGGGCTTCTACATATCCAAGCCAGGATTACCTCATTCCTTAATGCTGCCAATGTGATTCTAAAGACAGAAAAAAAAAACACTAAAAGCATTTTGAGAACTGTCCACACCTCTCTTCAGCACTTAGTATTTACTTTTTTATCATCAAAACTCTTTTTGCTCTTTGCTAAATGAACCTCGAATTTAAGGATCTCTACCCTTAGCCATTCCCTAAAGACCACTAGAGTATGTTATTCAATCCCACTTGTACCATATTGCTAGGCTGTATTAAATGGGCCCAGATACCTGATTATTTTCTCCTCTTGTGGATTGCCATGGTGTGACTGAGGACCACACTGATGGGGAGCAGCAGCGTGAGACACTTTGTATCTCAGCCACAGTGTAAGTCATCCAGAAGGTCTTAAGGAGGATGGGAACAGTGGAAAGAGTCTTATCCATCTCTTTGCAATCCCGTGGACTATAGCCCTCCAGGCTCTTCTGTCCATGGAGTTCTCTGGGCAAGAGTACTGGAGTGGGTAGCCATTTCCGTCTCCAGAGGATTCCCAACCCGGGATCAAACCCAGGTCTCCTACATTGCAGGCAAGTTCTCACGCTGTCTGAGCCACCAGGGAAGCCCATGTATAGACAGAACCCACTTCGACAAAGAAGCAGTATTGATCCCAGATTTCTAGATTGCCATTGTCACCATCTGGAATTTCTTTATCATGAAGGAAAAATTAGATGAGCATTATCATTAAAGTTCAGTCACTGGATATGGATGAAGTGGAGCAACTTTCAGTTCAGTTCAGTCACTCAGTCGTGTCCGACTCTTTGCGACCCCATGAATCGCAGCACGCCAGGCCTCCCTGTCCATCACCAACTCCTGGAGTTTACTCAGACTCATGTCCATCGAGTCGGTGATGCCATCCAGCCATCTCATCCTCTGTTGTCCCCTTCTCCTCCTGCCCCCAATCCCTCCCAGCATCAGGGTCTTTTCCAAAGAGTCAACTCTTCGCATGAGGTGGCCAAAGTACTGGAGTTTGAGCTTCAGCATCAGTCCTTCCAGTGAACACCCAGGACTGATCTCCTTTAGGATGGACTGGCTGGATCTCCTTGCAGTCCAAGGGACTCTCAAAAGTCTTCTCCAACACCACAGTTCAAAAGCATCAGTTTTTTAGTGCTCAGCTTTCTTCACAGTCCAACTCTCACATACATACATGACCCCTGGAAAAACCATAGCCTTGACCAGACAGACCTTTGTTGGCAAAGTAATGTCTCTGCTTTTTAATTTGCTATCTAGGTTGGTCATAACTTTCCTTCCAAGGAGTAAGCGTCTTTTAATTTCATGGCTACAGTCCTCATCTGCAGTGATTTTGGAGCCCCAAAAAATAAAGTCTGACATTGTTTCCACTGTCTCCCCATCTATTTCCCATGAGGTGATGGGACCAGATGCCATGATCTTAGTTTTCTGAATGTTAAGCTTTAAGCCAACTTTTTTACTCTCCTCTTTCACTTTCATCAAGAGGCTTTTTATTTCCTCTTCACTTTCGGCCATAAGGGTGGTGTCATCTGCATATCTGAGCTCATTGATATTTCTCCCGACAATCTTGATTCCAGCTTGTGCTTCTTCCAGCCCAGCGTTTCTCATGATGTACTCTGCATATAAGTTAAATAAGCAGGGTGACAATATATAGCCTTGATGTACTCCTTTTCCTATTGGGAACCAGTCTGTTGTTCCATGGCCAGTTCTAACTGTTGCTTCCTGACCTGCATACAGGTTTCTCAAGAGGCAGGTCAGGTGGTCTGGTATTCCCATCTCTTTCAGAATTTTCCACAGTTTATTGTGATCCACACAGTAGCAGCTTTAGATGCTACAAAATACTGAACTGCATTCTTGATGGGTTAGTCTCATACTGGATTCTTAACAGAGACTTTTACCTCTCCTCAGGTCCAGGGAAGTATTTAAGAAAGAGAACATCTCAAACCTGTGTACATCTCTAAGAACCTATATTTCATAGTATCTGTCAGCATCTACAATGTATATTATGTTTTATATTTTAACAACAGTTTTTCATGATTTATTTCGTTTGTTCAGCACAGTATTCATAGATGCTGTTTTCTGAATTTTGCAGGTTATGAAATGAGGCCAGATAGTTAAACTCAGTCACTTATCCATTCAACAAAGATTTATTGAGTGTTTACTGTGTGCCCCAGGCACTTCTAGACACTGAGGGGAGAGCAGAGAATAAGACAGAGTCCCATTCATTGATTGATTTGTCTAAGACTACACACCATGACTAGAACTTATCATTCAACCTACAGTTCTTTTCTAACCAATTTATAAAAACAATTATAGCTGTAATGGTAAAACCAACTGCTAACAAAACATTAGCTAAACCTACTCTTCCAATTCTCTCCAACCCCCTTTTATTGTAAGTCAAAGCTGTCCTGTACAGTCTGAAATCTCTACACATTATGTCCTTTTCAAGATTGCCAGTCACAGCAAAGGACTTCATAGAAAAGCACAGGCCTTCCGTGTGGAGCTCTGCTGCAAGAGTCATCTCTGAGGATGGAAAACATACCATCTCTGTGTGTGAGATTAAAATACTCAACTCACAAATAGAGTGGTTGACATTGTATCTTGTGATTCCACTGAAAACCTAATATAGTTTTTTGAGATTTCAGAGCAGGTTTCTATCCTAATTTGGATCAGTTTGCTCTCACACTCCCAAAGCCAAAATGTGGTTCCCCACTGATGTTGGAGATTCACAGGGGTTCTACGCAGGGGCTTATTCACGGGTTGAGAAACAGTGCACCTCCACCAGGAAGCCCAGGCCCATGCCTGTGCTGCTCTGCCCATGGTCTAGGCACCAGGACGTACCTCTCTCCCTGCTCAGACAGCCCCTGTGTGTATTCTTGGGTAGGGGCCAGGCCACAGTGCTGTAAACTCTTGCTTTGTGAGATAGAACTTCCCAGAGGAGACATCCAGAAGGTGATTGCCTTCGCTAGTGACTGTGATGGCAACTTGTAATCAGAGGATATTAGTGATCCTTTCTGCGACCTGGCAGTGAGCTGGGAGTGCTGCTCCAAGGCTCACATGCGCTTCTTTGGTTTTATGTCAAGAAATTTTAGTTGCCAGTGCTACCACCGATCTGACTCCTCTTGTCTGTTTTTCTAATGCTAGATACCTTTTCCTAATTACTTCCCACATTTACTAGAGGAACTTAAATGGGGGAGGTCTACATAGCTCTTTCCTAGCCCATGATCAAATCCTTTACATTATCAATTCAAGGTCAGTGCCTGTACCCATGTTTCTAGTAGAAAAGAATAGTGTTCTTATGACGAAAACTGGGTAGCTCCTCAAGGCAGCAAATATAAAGCTTCAGGATTTCCCCACTAACTCTATTATAATACAGTCTTTTATTTTTATTATACCAAGAGGGGAACACTGAGATAATCCACATTTTTTATCTGACCAGGTAAAGTCTTTACAGACCCAAAGAATATGAGAGTCACTATTCTCCAGTGTCATGCTAAAAAGAGAAATGACTCCCATTCTGTCTTTCAAACTCAGCTCTGAGCCTTTCTAATGGAAGTAGAATCACAATTACGACATAACACTTTTTAATTTTTAATTGTATATTGTGATAACAAAACACTTTCCTCTTTCTCTTTTGTTTCCAATTTAATAAGTGACTTGTAATAGGTCTGTCTTTGGCTTCTCTCTTAATAGAAATAGTTGGGGGCTTGAAGACTGTGTTTTGTAAATAAAAAATGAGATTATATAATAGCAGACCCTATTTGGGGGCTTCCCAGGTGGCCCTAATGGTAGAGAAACCACCTGCCAATGCAGGAGACCTAAGAGATGCAATGTCAATCCCTGGGTTGGGAAGCTCCCCTGGAGGAGAAAATGGGAACCCACTTCAGTATTCTTGCCTGGAGAACCCCATGGACAGAGGAGCCTGGTGGACCATAGTCCGTGGGGTCGCAAAGAGTTGGACATGACTGAAGCAACTTAGCACAGCACAGACCCTGTTTAACTCACTGAGTATTATAAAGCAATTCCATAATCAAAATGCAATTGTTTAAAGAAAATTGTGCTAAGATTACTTAGGGACATATATTAATAGAAATAACTTTTTCTCTTACAGAGAGGTTAGTATCTTAACACTCGAGCACCATTACCAAAACAAGGTACTGGGATCAGTTTGAATCAATTGAGATAGTTTGTCCCCATGCCCTATGTTCCTTTGACTTGACAGGGGTTCAGCATAGCTTATCCTTTCCTCTAAAAAGATGATCTTGCTTAATAAAGATAGTGAAACCACAGAGTATGCCAAGAAGGGTGGTTTTTGCCATATACGGGTGCAGGTCCATCCCAGGGACAAGGAGGGAGGGGGTTCGGTGAGTGGGAGCAGACGCCTCGCTTACAGAAGAGACGTACTGCATCAGCTGGGCCTGCCTTGTGCCACGCGGCAACCCCTCTCTGACAGTTTGCCGGAATTGCCCGCA